TGATCCCCAGGAGAGGGCATGCAGGAGGCAGCCGATCCATGATTCTCTCTCATCAATGATGTTTATCTCTCTCTCTCCCTCCCTCTCCCTTCCTCTTTGAAATCAATAAAAATATATTTTAAAAAATAAAGTTCACCGTATCCAGTCCTCCCCGCCAGCCCACCCAAAAAAAAAAACACCACGATTATTGTGAAGATTAAATGAGATGTGAGCATATAATATAACTTCTGGCTTATAAAGGTGCCAGATAAGTGTTTTTCACCTCAATTACATAGCTCACAGGCTAAAAAGAAAGGTAAATACACTTCCAGCCGTTAATTCAACATTTACTGACAAGGATCTTACAGACCCCAGATGCTGTACTGTATAAGTTCCTATCTTTTTTTTTTAATACATTTTATTGATTTTTTTACAGAGAGGAAGGGAGAGGGATAGAGAGTTAGAAACATCGATGAGAAACATCGATCAGCTGCCTCCTGCACACTCCCTACTGGGATGTGCCCTCAACCAAGGTACATGCCCTTGACCAGAATCGATCCTGGGACCCTTCAGTCTGCAGGCTGATGCTCTATACACTGATACAAACATGTTAGAGCTATGAGTGCCTATTCTAAATGCAGCCGCATACGAGGTGGGGGGAAAATAGACAATGAACAAAATGTATATAAAACAAAAACATAATACAGGGGTTGAAAACAGGAATTTTTAGGGGGTAAAATAGGACAGGGTTTTAGGGAAATTTTTTGAAATGAAGGGGACCATGGAGGAAGCACAGGGCCGCAGAGCAGCAGAAGGTATATTTCCATAGAATAGGGGAAGCGGAGGAGCTGTAACAGGTACATTTCTATTGAGTGAGGGAGCAGGGAACAGCAAATATTTACAAAATAAAGCGCAGGAAGCCCTTCATCCAGAAGGAGAAGAAGAAAGCCCAAAGGGAATAGGAAAAGAGGGAAGGAGTGGGGGGAGAACCTCACATGTCCCACGTGTGCCAGGAGATACTATAGTAACCAGTCTAAGGGAATACTGACCATCAGAGGGGATATCAAGGCACCAGGATCTGCACCCTTTATAAGCCATAGGGAAAAGGAACTCAGTGGGACCCTTCCCCCCTCCCTACATGGGAGTCCATTCTGTGGGACTCTCTATCTCCCCACTTGGGAATCTACTTATTCTTCAATAAATCTCCACCTTTGCTATACCACTTTCTGTCCGGGCATTCATTCTTCAATACTGGCAGACAAAGAATCGAGTTCCAGTCCAAAAATTCCATTTCAGAGTTAACTGCTATAATGAGATATCATGGATGGTAAGAAGAGCTACCCTGGAGACAGGGAAAGGTTTGTTGGTTAATTTGGATTCTACATGGAGATTTAGCTCGGAATTAGATTTAGAATTGATGGTTTGGGATCAAATTCTAGACTTGCACTGAAATCAGGACATGACGTCGAGGTCTACCTAAAAAGACTTTGGCAGTGGGGGCAACAACAACACACAAACTTTAAACCAGAAAGGAAACCTGCAGGTGACATGAGATGAAGGGACTCCTTGGAGCATTAACTCACCAGCTCAGCAACCTCATCAAAGACACTGACCATCACCATCACTTTCTCTCCATTTGTCCATCCCTAGAGCTATGGCTCTATCCCCGGGCCACTTTCTCTCTGTTTGTCCATTCACAGAGCTATGGCTCTATCTTCTGGCCACTTCCCTCCCCAGATCCAGGAGGGCTGCCTCCTTTCCAGAATTTACACCCAGAAGGAACCCTGTCTAACAGAATCAAGAAGAACTCTTCTCCTGCCTCACTTTGGGAAGAGGAGAGCAGTTCCCTGAAGTAACCTAGGGGTCTTCCCCTCCCTCTTCATTGGCCAACATTGTATCACATGTTTATTTATAAACCAATCCCTGGACAGCAGACATGCCCCCCCCCCCGGCCATGCTTGGGGCAGTAAAGCTCATTTGTGGTCACATGAGCACAGCAGGTTGTCGAAATGAAATCAAGGTTCTGACAAGTGGCAGAAGGAGTGCATGCTGGGTAGGCAACACAAATGTCTATGATGGGTCAACTTGTGGGATCGATGTAGAATTGGATTAAAGATCAGAATTGAGATAGCACATGGACTCACACTAAGGACTGAAGCATATTTGGGGGTCTGAGTTAGAAGTGAAGGTCAATTCCACTGTTAGGAATCAGCTGTCTAGTAGTAATCTGACAATGGTTCCTGTGTTACTCCATGCAAATGCCAAAGTCCTACCTGGGTCCTCAATCCCTGTGTCTTCCAAATCCTCTGAGGCTCTGAACCATCACCCACCCTTGTCCCTCTGATTCATTCAGCTCCAATAAAAAAGTCTTCCCTGCTAGAACATTCTAGGTCTCCCTCCTCTTCTCACCTGCCTGTCACTCTGCCTAGACTCGCTGCTCTCAAGTAGCAACAGGAGCCCATCTACCACCTCCTACAAGATTTTGTGTGAATGTCCTCTTCACCTGGGGTCTTTCCAACCACCTTTCCAATATTATAACTGCAGAGGTTGTTGAGATCAAAGGGAACCAATAACCCCCTAGGCCTCCTCTGGTCTTATTTTTCTCCATAGCACTCACTACCACGTAAAAAACAACAACCTATAAATGTGAAGTTCTTATTTCTTTACTTAAGGACTCCACCCACTGGAATGAGGGGCTTTGTGACAGAATTTCACTGTTTTGTGGAATGTGTGCCCTCAGAGGCCAGAACAGATTCTGGCTCAGAGTCAATGCTCAGTAGATACTTCAGGAATGAATACAATAAGTAAAGATGAAAATGCAAAGAAATTCACCCCACCATCATTGTAATGAAAGCGATTCAAAGGCACTTCAATGTGAAAGAGTGACATAAGTCAGAACACAGCTATAGTGCAGAATAAAGGTAGGAGTAATCATTCTAAGAGAGGCAATTGTCCAAGACTTTTAAAATTTATTTTTAATTTGTTTGTTGTTGTTAATCCTCACCCAAGGATATTTTTTCGTTGATTTTTAGGGAGAGTGGAAGAGAGAGGGAAAGACAGAAACATCGATGTGAGAGAGTGTTATGGTCAAAGGTGATCCTGAGTGGGGGCAGGGGTTGGGGGGTGAAAGGATTGAGAAAAGACAGACAAGAGAATGAAAGCTGGGTCTGGGTGGGATGCTGCTCCCTAATGAGGAGACAGTGCCCACGAGCTGTGTCTTTATGTTATAGCAGATGCCACGAGACGAAGTAGGGCGTGATCACGTTGTTTACAGCATTCTTGTGAGTTTCAACCTCACTTAGCTACATGCACCCGAACTCTATCACAAGGCACGTGGGCTACATGTTCGGACCATAGGTTCAAGCTCACAACCACAGCCGTTGGCTATGATTGTGCTGGGAGGGCCCTGCCCTCCAGCTGGGACTTGCACATGGCAATGAGAGGACACTGTCCTTTCATGAGTCCAAGGCTTGAACCTGGCCAAAACACCGTAACCGCTCCCCACAAGAGAGACACATCCATTGGTTGCCTCTTGCACCAGCCCCGATCATGGCCGGGCTACGGAGGAGCCTGCAACCAAGGTATATGCCCTTAACCAGAATCAAACCCAGGACCCTTTGGTCTGCTGGCCAAACCATTATCCACTGAGTGGCTAGGGCTCCTTAAGACTTTTTATAGAGTAAATAAAATGTCCCATTAGATAATGTTCAGACTTTTTTGTTAGAAATTCATACAATGTATAGAAATCAAAGTATAATAAGTGAAAAACGGTATATATTTAGTAGGTAGAGTTAGGAAAGCCTTCTCTTTAGATTCATATTAGGGTTGGCTTCAGGATCTAAGACAGGACTGGGATTCATCCTGACAAGTTCCCAAAAGCTGCTCAGAGTCACGATATAAGCTCTACACCACCCCTGAGAGGGGCTGAGGGCAAGAAAAGTGGCCACAGTGGAGGACCCAGGGCAAAGTCCATCCTTGACTCCTGCTCCTGCCCCTCAAGGCTAGTTCCTGGTCACACCCTTTGTAGCTGCCAGCGGGGATGGTGGCATCTTGGACGTGCTGGACCAAGCCCCTGACCTGGCCTCAGGAATGAGGGTGGAGGTAGAGTGCGGGCATATGGGTTTAGCTGCCTCCGGGTTCCAGATAAGAGCAAATGCAGGTAAGGTAACCCCAGAGCTGGGTTCGCTGAACTCCAGGACCCTGAGAGTTGGAGTGGGGCGGGTGTGCTATAAGAGGGCCACTCTGCACAAGGCTGGACACCATTGAATCCCAACCCAGACTCAAGACCAGACCAGACCAGACCAGACCAGACCAGACCCCCTGCAGGTGAGAGGAAATCCCACTAGGGATGGGGCAGGTGCATCTGGAGGGACAGCTGACTCTTGCTCTTGAGGACAGAGCAGTAGATTCCCAATATCTGGTTGTGAGAAGGAGGGGCTGGAGGTCTGCAGTTTGGGGGTCTTTTACCTAAAAAGGAACTTGGGACATAGAATTAAAAATGGGGGAGACACAGAAAGCCCGATCATTAGGTGCTCTGCATGGAAGGCTATCTCTGGGCCTGGGACTTGTGGGTCTAGAGCAGCCGTGGGCAAACTACGGCCCGCGGGCTGGATGCGGCCCATTTGAAATGAATAAAACTAAAAAAAAAAAAAAAAAAAGACCGTACCCTTTTATGTAATGATGTTTACTTTGAATTTATATTAGTTCACACAAACACTCCATCCATGCTTTTGTTCCGGCGCTCTGGTCCAGTTTAAGAACCCATTGTGGCCCTCCAGTCAAAAAGTTTGCACACCCCTGGTCTAGAGAGAAGAGGTGGTTGGAGACTGGGGCTCCAGGGTCTGAGGGAGGAGGTGGGTGCAGAGTAGGCTCCTGGGCCTGCTGGAGGAGGTGGGTACGGAATGGGCTCCAGGGTCTAAGTGGGGAGGTGGGGGCTCCTGGGTTTGAGCAAAGAGAAGGGACCTGCTGACCAGGAGTCCTGGTTCATAAACTCTCTGTCTTTCCAACCCCCGAACAGAAGGCCCTTCCTCTGTGGCAGCCACAGAGGCTCAGACAGGACACATGGCAGGTCCCCGGCTCCAGCCTCTGCTGCTCCTACTGCTGTCCTTAGCCCTCAGATCTGCTGGACAAGAAGGTGAGGACCAGCCTGGGAGTCTTGACCTTGCCCCTGGGCCTTACAGTCCCCCACCTCCCCTCTCCAGGCCCCCTCTCTTGAAGGATCCTCTGAGTCAGGACCCTCCTCTGAAGCAACCTCCTCCCATGGAGACATGGCCCCTGCGCTGTGGCCCCTTTCTTCCTGCTCCCTCCTGACTCCTGGGCTTTGGGTGCCCTCCAGGCTGCTTCCCGCCCTCAGTGTCTCTCCCATCAGTAGCTGGGGCTACCTCCAGACCAGCTGCTGCCCTGGGTTTTTTGAGCATCCTCCCTCCGTCTCTCTCCATCTCCGTCTGCAGCTGTATCTGCCCTGGGCTCCGTGTCTGACTCTGCCCCTCTCCAAGCCTCTGTCTGTCTCTCTCTCCATCACTGTCTCTGGGCATCCATCTACTGTGGACTCAGCCTTCCCCTGAGGCCTGCTACCCATAATTTTCCAGGTCTCCATCCAGCCCAGGATACCGGCGAGAGGATCATTAATGGAAATGTATGTCCAAGAGGCTCCCATCCCTGGCAGGTGGCCCTGTATTACAACAATAAGTTCAAATGTGCAGGCGTGCTGGTCAACCAACAGTGGGTGCTCACCGTCGCCCACTGCCACCAGAGGTAAGGGACAGGGGAGCCAGGGCCACTCCATGTCTCTCTCTGGGTCCTTCTCTCTCTCTTTCTCTCTCTCTGGGCTTCTGTCCTCCTAACTCAATCACAGTGTCTCCCTCTGAACGTTACTTTTTTTTTTTTAAGTGAGTACATTGTGCAAATGGGTAGTGATCTTCTGGTTGATGTGCGTGCCCAGAGGATCAGGGCCACAGAGTCCTTCATCCACCCCCGGTATAACAACCGCACCAATAATCATGACATCATGCTGGTGAAGCTGCACAGCCCAGCCACGCTCTCGCCCATTGTGAACACAATCAACCTACCGTCCAGCTGCAAAGGCAATGCGACAAGCTGTACTGTGTCTGGTTGGGACGTAACCACCATGCATGGAGGTAAGGCTGCCACTACGACCCCAGTCACCAAGGTCCCAGTTCCCTTCTTCCTCAGGCCGCAGACACATGGGAAAAACCCAAGGTTCCAGACACCCCCTCTCCTCAAACACCTCCATTCTCAGACCCAGGAAGCCAGAACCCCAGGCCCTGCACTGTCAGATCCGGAAGCCTGACCTTTAGACATACGTCCCCCGAGGACCCATCCCGCAGACCCAGGAATTTAGGACCCCAGTCACCACCTTACTCACAGCCAAGTGTTTAGGCTCCCATCCGCTTCCACCCTCAGAACTGGGAGTCTTGGCCTTCAGGCGCCTTCTCCCTCAGAGGAAAGGAGACCTGGTGCCCAGCCCCCCTCTACCCAGGAGGTGTCCCTCTTTGACAGCACCTCGTCCCTCCCTTGGTAGATGCTACCTGGGATGGTGGAACTGGAACGTGCAGGGTCCAACCCCGTGGCCTGGCCTCAGGAATGAGGGGGGAGGTAGAGTGCGGGCATATGGGTTTAGCCAGATAAGAGCAAATGCAGAGAAGGTAACCCCAGAGCTGGGTTCACTGAACTCCAGGACCCTGAGAGTTGGAGTGGGGCGGGTGTACTATAAGGCGGCCACTATGCATAGTACGTTCAAACCCAGGAGTTCAGACGCAGTTCCCTTCCTTCCGAAGACCTGGAAGTCCAAGAAATAGGACCCATTTCATAACCATCGTATTGGGTCACCCAGCTCCTCCTCCTTCCATGTCCAGGGTCCCCATTCTTTTACATCAGCACCCACAGGTCCACAGGACCCAGCCTCTGACTGTCCCATCCCCCCAACTTCTCCAGCAGCAACGAAGCCATCAAGGCTCATGTGCTCCAATGTCAACATCATCTCCTACCAGGAATGCAAGCAGTCTTACCGGAACCTGTTGAAAAAATACATGCTCTGTGCGGCTACCCCCAACGGGTTCTCAAACAGCTGCAAAGTGAGTCTTCTCCTCCCCTGCCATGGGTTCGGCTTCTTCTCACCCCAGGCCTGTCTCCCCCTCCATCCAGTGTCTGGGGCCTGACCCTGGTGCTGAGACTTCCCTCACACCTTACCAGCCCCACTTTCCAGGCTCTCTCTACTCAGTTCTCTGCCCGGGTCAGGTGGGAGCCCCCGGGGGCCTGCGTGGCCTTGGGGGCAGGCACAAAGCTGAAGGATAGAAACTGGGGGTGGGAATGGGGCTGGGACTATGGGGAGGGCACTGAGGCACTGGCTACAAGCACAAGCTTTAAGGTCTCACCAAAGGCTCAGTGACCAGGAAATATCATATTCCCATGAAATATTTAAAAAATAATCCATGATGAGCAAAGCATCAGAATTTTCAACAACAGAAGCAACCAGAATGGGCTGGATTTCCCGTTGGTGTCTTGCTTCTATGTGATTAAGAACAGCACTGTAATGACCCGGTCTTTATCTAAAACTGGAATATCGCCCTAGCAGGATTGTATTAGTGGATCCAGCATAGGACTGGGGACTGGAGGGTCCCAGGTTCGATTCCAGTCAAGGGCACAAGCTCAGGTTGCAGGCTCAATGCCCAGTAGGGGGCGTGCAAGAGGCGGCCAATCAGTGATTCTCTCTCATTGTCGTTTCTATCTCTTTCTTCCTCTCCCTTACTTTCTGAAATAAAGAAAACATTAAAAACAGAAAACAAAAAACTGGAAAGCAGGTTCCCCATGGATTTTTTTTCTCATATTAAATTTGATTTTTAAAATATGCCTTAAAATGGTTGTTGCAGTCACTGACATGCGCCTGAGGCTCATGCCCTGCTTCTATGTCTGTGTATCTGGGTCTAATTCTGAAGAAAGAAGGAGCCCCTCCTCTTTGTTCTCCCTTCCTCATCTCTGTAGCCTCCTCTCTGACTGTCAGAACCCTCTCCCCTCATCTCTCCTCACACCTCACTTCTTTTTATTTCTACTATTTTTGTTGATTGCAGAGAGGAAGGGGGAGGGAGAGAGAGAAACAACAATGATGAGAGAGAATCACTGATTGGCTGCCTCCTGCATGCCCCCTACTGGGGATGAAGCCTGCAACCAAGGCACATGCCCTTGACTGGAATCGAACCTGGGACCCTTCAGTCCACAGGTCGATGTTCTATTCACTGAGTCAAACCAGCTAGGTCCTCACACCTCATTTCATTTTCTGGTTCCCTCTGTGTTCTGTGTTGTGATCTCTCTCTCTCTCCCACTCCTTTTCTCCCTCCATCCCTCCATTCCTCTCTCCCTCCCTTCCTCCATCCCTACCTCTCTGTCTCTTTCTCAGGCCTCTGTCAATTTTTTTATTTTCTCCATCTCTGCCTCATTCCTTACCCCAATCATTCTGCTTGTCTGTCTCCTTCATCCTTCCCTTTCTTCTCTCCATCCCTCTCTCTCTCTCTTTCATCCTTTGCCTCTTTGTACCTCCACTATCTTGCTGACATCTGCACTCTCAGCTTTCAGGGGTGGTGAAATGGTGTGTTTTAGGAAGAGAGGTGATGGGACAAGGTTGAATGTCCTAAAAATGGGGGGTTCCCCCTGGTCCCCCACTGAGGACCTGATTCATAATTCTGCAAACTGCGCAGGGACACAGAGTCGCAAACTCGGGACAGTCCCGCACTTGTTTTAACGCACTCGCTTTTCTTAAGCTTCCTGTATTTGAACCTAGTGGTCCGAACTTTTATTTTGCATAGAGCCTGTAAATTAGGGCATTGGTCCCGCCCCTGGTTTCCAGGACTACCCTGTCCCCCATCCCTGGGTAGGGCAATGTATGGGATTCCCTGGAGGTAATGCTTCCTCTCCCAGGGGCTTGACAAATAAATGGGGCTCTGACATCCTGGAAGCCCCGCCCTCTCCCTGTGATTGACTAGGGCTCAAGCCAATGTCTTCCAAAAACCTGGTTGGTCCTCTCCTTGATAGCATTCATTCCTGCTCTGCCATTGGTCTGCAGAGACAATGAGTCTCTTCCCATTGGCCAGGTGGTAGGCTGTGTTCTGGCAGGTTAAAGGCCTGAGAAGCCTGGTTTCTGTGGGACCTCATTGCTGGTTATTTTGAAATCAAAGTTAATCTGCTCTCTCCCCTCCAGGGTGACTCCGGGAGTCCGCTGATTTGTGAAGGTTCCCTGCAAGGCCTGGTGTTCGCTGGCTATATCCCTTGTACCACGCCCTTTAAGCCAGTGATATACACCCGCGTATGCATGTACCGCAAATGGCTGAATAATACCATGAAAGCCAATTCCTAATCTCTCCATACCTTCATCCTTTGTCCCTATGCCCTGAACAGGGCCTTCCCAGAAATAAAGGCACCCCTGACTTGCAGTCGTGTTTGAATTCATCATTTTCAAAGTTGTATGAAACTGTCAACAACATTCTAATAAAAATTTGCAAAAACCTATGAGCTAAACATAAAACACAAAAACTTCGGTCTAGTGAAGATGCGGGCAGCCTCCCACCGTGTTAGCTAGCGGAAGTGAAGAACAATTTTTATGAAACAAGGTTAACAAGGTGAGCCTACGAGGTTAGGCAAGGTGTGTCCGGAATCTCATCATGGCTTTTGAGCTAAGAATTCTGGTCAATCCGAAACATGGGCAAGGTTTGAATTCATCACAATATTGTGGCGAGCCAGCATGGCCATGGCATACTCAGCCCAAGGGCGCCTTATGTGCCATGGCAGCTCAGCCTATGTAGTGACCCTGAGTGGGGGCGGTGAAAGGCTTAGAAAAGACAGACAAGAGAATGAAGGCTGGGTCTCGGTGGGACGCTGCCCTCTCGGGTGGAGAGAGATAGCTTCAGTGCCCACAAGCCGTGTCTTTATTTTATAGCAGATGCCAGGAGGCAATGTAAGGGTGTGATCAAGATGTTTACAACATTCTCATGGGTTTCAATCCCACTTCACTACATGAACCTGAACTCTCTCAAGCCCACATCACTCAGGCACATGGGGCCATGTGTTCGGACCATAGGTTCAAGCTCACAACTACAGCAGTTGGCTATAATTGTGCTGGGAGGGCCCTGCCATCCAAGCTGGGACTTGCACATGGCCATGAGAGGACTGTGCCCTCTCCTCAGTCCAAGGCTTGAATCTGTGCAAACACTGTAGCTGCGTCCCACACAACATTATCTGTCATAGCAAAACAGTGGAAATGCTGAACCTGTCCCAAATTATTCCATGGCTTATGTCAACAACAAAGGCATATAGGTCAGGAGACTAATGACTCTGTTCAGGATAATAATTATGCAGAACTGTGAGTGTCACCTCAGAATGCATATGCTGTCTGTTGTTAAATGAAAAGAAAGGAAACAAAAATCGTATATGTGTGCCATCATCACAGGGTAAAATGAAATCGTCACAGAATAAGAGCATGTACCTAACTGCCTGTGGACAGAGTCCTGGGTGCCTCCTTCCTTCCGTGTCCCTTTCTGTGCCTGTGCACCTCTACACCCTGAGCAATAAGGTGGGGACCTCTGAGGACCCAAGGTTGGGGCGAGGAGACTTTCACAGAGGGAGGTGGGAAAGGAAAATGAACTGAATTCGAATCTCACCCTGCCTCCTGCTCCCACTGACACAGTGGTGTGTTCCTCTACATTTTCCAGCCCTCAGTTTGAGAGAGAGAGAGAGAGAGAGAGAGAGAGAGAGAGAGAGAGAGAGAGAGAGAAGAAGAAGAAGAAGAAGAAGAAGAAGAAGAAGAAGAAGAAGAAGAAGAAGAAGAAGAAAAATAAGAAGAAAAAGAAGAAGAAGAAGAAGGGGGAGGAGGAGGAGGTGGAGGAGGAGTAGGAGGAGAAGGAGGAGGACAAGGAGAAGGAGATGGGGAAGGAGAAGGAGAAGGAGAAGGAGAAAGAGAAGGAGAAGGAGAAGGAGGAGGAGGAGGAATAGAGAACAGAAATGCCTAGTTCACACGTGTGCAAAGGGATGTGAAAATGGTACTGAGCATGTCACAGATGAAAAATGAGGAGAGAGGGAGCAGGTTTTCAGAAAGGATGGCGTTGGCACGTAGACAGGACACCAGAATCCATCGAGACCACAAGTGAGCACCCAGAGTTTGGAGGAAGAGAGAACAGTGGGAGTGGAAACTGGGGTAGGTGGGCTCCTATTCTCACTGTGCGCCCATAAGGGGCCTCCAGAGGAGATGAGGAAGGAGGTAGGAGGCCCCTGTGTCTCAGAGCCTGGCAAGATCAGCAGGTTCCTGGTACCCTGGGCTCCCTGGGCAATCACCACAGACCCTGCTGACTGAGGGTCCTCTCCAACCAGCTGTGATAGGCAGTTAGGCAGACATGAGTTGAAGGGGCTCCATGGAGCATTAACTCACCAGCTCAGCAACCTCCTCAAGACACTGACCATCACCATCACCCTCTCTCTGTTTGTCCATCCCCGGAGCTATGGCTCTGCCTTCTGGCCACTTCCCTCCCCACTTCCAGGAGGGCTGCCTCCGTTCCAGAATTCACACCCAGAAAGAAAACTGCCTAACAGAGTCTAAGAGAACTCTTCTCCTGTCTCACTTTGGGAAGAGGAGAGCAGTTCCCTGAAGTAACCTAGTGGTCTTCCCCTCTTCATTGGCCAATATTGTATCACATGTTTATTTATAAACCAATCCCTACACAGCAGAAATGAACCTCCGTGCTTGGTGCAGTAAAGCTCATTTGTGGTCACAATGAGGAGGGCAGTTTGTCCAAACTAAGTCAAGGTTCTGACAAATGGCAGAAGGAGTGCATGCTGGGTAGACAACAACAATGTCTATGATGGGTCAACTTGTGGGACCGAGGTAGAATTGGATTAAAGATCAGAATTGAGATAACACATGGACTCACACTAAGGAACAAAACATATTTGGGGGTCAGAGTTAGAAGTGAGGGTCAATTCCACTGGTAGGAATCAGCTGTCTAGTAGTAATCTGACAATGGTTCCAGTGTTACTCCATGCAAATGCCAAAGTCCTACCTCGGTCCTCAATCCCTGCGTCTTCTAAAACCTATGAGGCCTCTGAACCCATCCCCCACTCTTGTCCCCCTGATTCATTCAGCTCCTATAAAAAGATCTTCCCTGCTAGAACATTCTAGGTCTCCCTCCTCTTCTCACCTGCCTGTCACTCTGCCCAGGACTCACTGCTCCCCAGTAGCTACATGAATCCATCTACACCACCTTCAAGATTTTGTTCGAATGTCCTCTATACATGGGGTCTTTCCAACTACCTTTCACAATATTATAACTGCAGGGGTTGTTGACATCCAAGGGAACCAATAATTCCCTATCTCTCCTCTGGTCTAATTTCTCTCCATAGCACTCACTGCCACGGAAAAAACAACCTATAAATGTGAAGTTCTTATTTCTTTACTTAAGATCTCCACCCACTGGAATGAGGGGCTTTGTGACTGAATTTTGTTGTTTTGTGGAAGCTGTGCCCTCAGAGGCCAGAACAGATTCTGGCTCAGAGTCAATGCTCAGTAGATTCTTCATAAATGAATACAATGAGGAAAGATGAAAATGCAAAGAAATTCATCCCACCATCATTGTAATGAAAGCGATTCAAAGCCACTTCAATGTGAAAAGTGACATAAGTCAGAAGACAGCTATAGTGTAGAATAAAGGTAGGAGCAATCATCCTAAGGAAGCAATTGTCCAAGACGTTTTAAATTTATTCTTAACTTGTTTGTTGTTTTTAATCCTCACTCAAGGGTATTTTTCCATTGAATTTTAGGGAGAGTAGAAGAGAGAGGGAAACAAAGAAACATCGATGTGAGAAAGACACATTGATTGGTTACCTCTTGAACCAGCCCCGATCAGGGCCCGGGCTGGGAAGGAGCCTGCAAACAAGGTATGTGCCCTTAACCGGAATCACACCCAGGACCCTTTGGTCTGCTGGCCAAAGCATTATCCACTGAGTGGCTAGGGCTCCTTAAGACTTTTTATAGAGTAAATAAAATGTCCCATTAGATAATGTTCAGACTTTTTTGTAAGAAATTCATACTATGTATAGAAATCAAAGTATAATAAGTGAAATACAGTACATATTTAGTAGATAGACTTGGGAAAGCCTTCTTTAGATTCGTACCCCAATATTAGGGTTGGGTTCAGGCCCAAAGACACATCTGGGATTCAGCCTGACAAGTTCCCACAAGCTGCTCAGAGTTACAGTATCAGTTATAGGCCACCCCTGGGAGGGCCTGGGGGCAAGAAAAGTGGCCACAGTGGAGGACCCAGGGCACAGTCCATCCCTGACACCTGGTCCTGCCCCTCAACCCTAGTTCCTGGTCACACCCTTCGTAGATGCCACCAGAGAGCTGGCAGGTGCTGGGGCCAAGCCCCTGACCTGGCCTCAGGAATGAGGGTGGAGTTAGAGTGCGGGCATATGGGTTTAGCTGCCTCGGAGGTTCCAGATAAGAGGAAATGCAGGTAAGGTAACCCCAGAGCTGGGTTCGCTGAACTCCAGGACCCTGAGAGTTAGAGTGGGGCGGGTGTGCTATAAGAGGGCCACTCTGCACAGGGCTGGACACCATTGAATCCCAACCCAGACTGAAGGCCAGACCAGAACAGACCAGACCAGACCCCCTGCAGGTGAGAGGAAAATCCACTAGGGATGGGGCAGGTGTATCTGGATGGACAGCTCACTCTTGCTCTTGAGGGCAGAGCAGTAGATGCCCAATATCTGGTAGAAAGAAGGAGGGGTTGGAGGTTTGGAGTTTTGGATCTTTTACCTTAAAGGAACTTGGGACATAGAATTAAAATGGGGGAGGACAGAAAGCCCGATCACGAGGTGCATCTGCATGGAAGGCTGTCTCTGGCCTGGACTTGTGGGTCTAGAGCGAGCAGGTGTGTGGAGACTGGGACTCCTGGGACTGAGGGAGGAGGTGGGGGAAGACCGGGCCTCCTGGGTCTGAGCGAGGAGGTGGGGGCTCCTGAGTTTGAGCAAAGAGAAGGGACCTGGAGACCAGGAGCCCTGATTCCTGAACTCCATCTTTCCACCCCAGCACAGAAGGCCTTTCTTCTGTGGCAGCCACCGAGGCTCAGACAGGACACATGGCAGGTCCCCTGCTCCAGCTCCTGCTTATCCTACTGCTGTTCTTCGCCCTGGGATCTGCTGAAGAAGGTGAGGACCAGCCTGGGAGTCCTGACCTTGCCCCTGGGCCTCATAGTCCCCCACCTAGCCTATCCAGGCCCCCTCTCTCCAAGAAGCCCCTGAGTCATGACCCTCCCCTGCAGCAGCCTCCTCCCATGGAGACATGGCCCCTGTGCTGTGGCCCCTTTCTTCCTGCTCCCTCCTGACTCCAGGGCTCTGGGTACCCTCCTGGCTGCGTCCTGCCCTCAGTGTCTCTCTCATCAGAAGCTGGCATGACCACCAGACCAGCTGCTGCCCTGGGCTTCTGAGCAGGCTCCCTCCATCTCTCTCCATCTCCGTCTACAACTGTCTCTGCCCTGGACTCGGTGTCTGCCTCTGCCCTTCTCCACGCCTCTCTGTCTGTCTCTCTCTCCATCACTGTCTCTGGGCATCCATCTACTATGGACTCAGTCTTCCCCTGAGGCCTGCTACCCACGCTTTTTCCAGGTCTCCATCCAGCCCAGGATACTGGGAACAGGATCATTAATGGAGTTGTATGTCCAAGAGGCTCCCATCCCTGACAGGTGGCCCTGTATGCCTTCGATGAGTTCCATTGTGCAGGCGTGCTGGTCACCAGCAGTGGGTGCTCACCGTCGCCCACTGCCGCCTGAGGTATGGGACAAGGGGGCCACCGCCACTCCATGTCTCTCTCTCTCGCTCTCTCTTTCTCTCTCTCTCTCTCTCCCTCTCTCTCTCTTGGCTTCTGTCCTCCTAACTCTGGGTCTATGTACCCTTCTCTCAATCACAGTGTCTCTCTCTGAACGTTACTTTTTTATTTTTAAGTGAGTATATTGTGCAAATGGGGAGTGATCTTCTGGTTGATGGGCATGCTCGGAGGATCAGGGCCACACAGTCCTTCGTCCACCCCCGGTATAACAACAGCAATTATAATCATGACATCATGCTGTTGAAGCTGCCAAGCCTGGCCACGCTCTCACCACTGTGAACACAATTGACCTACCGTCCAGCTGCAAAGACCCTGGGACAAGCTGTATTGTCTCTGGCTGGGGCGTCACCACCACAGATAAAGGTGAGGCTGCCCCTGCGACCCCAGTCACCAAGGTCCCAGCTCCCTTCTTCCTCATGCCTCAGACACAGGAGACACACCCAAGGTTCCAGACACTTCACCCTCAAACACCTCCGTTCTCAGACCCAGGAAGCCAGACCCCCAGGCTCTGCACCATCAGAACCGCAAGCCTGACCTTTAGACTTACCTCCCCCCAGGCCTCCATCCCGCAGACCCAGGAGTTTAGAACCCCAGTCACCACCTCACGTAGAGCCAAGTGTACAGGCTCCAGGCCGCTTCCACCCTCAGAACCAGGAGTCTTGGCCTTCAGGTGCCTTCTCCCTCAGATGAAAGGAGACCTGGTCCCCAGCACCCTCTACCCAGGAGGTGCCCCTGAAGGCCAGCACCTCGTCCCTCCCTTGGTAGATGCCACTAGGGATGGTGGAGCTGGAACGTGTGGGGGGGCCAACCCACTGGCCTGGCCTCAGGAATGAGGGCGGAGTTAGAGTGCGGGCATCTGGCTTTAGATGCCTCAGGGGTTCCAGATAAGAGCAAATGCAGGGAAGGTAACCCCAGAGCTGGGTTCAGCTGAACTCCAGGACACTGAGAGTTGGAGTGGGGCGGGTGTGCTATAAGAGGGCCACTCTGCACAGTACGTTATGACCCAGGAGTTCAGACAAAGGTCCCTTCCTTCGAAGACCCGGAAGTCCAAGAAATAGGACCCTTTTCATAACCATTGTATTGGGGCACCCAGCTCCTCCTCCTTCCATGTCCAGGGTCCCCATTCTTTCACATCAGCACCCACAGGTCCACAGGACCCAGCCTCTGACTGTCTCATCCCCCCAAATTCTCCAGCAGCAACAAAGCCATCAAGGCTCATGTGCTCGAATGTCAACATCATCTCCTACCAGGAATGCAAGCAGTCTTACCGGTACCTGTTGAAAAAATACATGCTCTGTGCAGTTCCCCCGGAAAGGCTGTCAAACAGCTGCAGAGTGAGTCCCCTCCTCCCCTGCCCTGGGTTCAGCTTCTTCTCACCTGGGCCTGTCTCCCCCTCCATACAGTGTCCCGGGGCCTGACCCTGGTGCTGAGACTTCCCTAATACCTTACCAGCCCCACTTTCCTGGCTCTCTCTACTCAGTTCTCTGCCCAGGTCAGGGAGGGAGCTCCTGGGGGCCTGCGTGGCCTTGGGGGCGGGCACAAAGCTGAGGGATAGAAACTGGGGGTGGGAATGGGGCTGGGACTATGGGGAGGGCACTGAGGCACTGGCTACCAGCACAAGCTTTAAGGGCTCACCAAAAGCTCAGTGACCAGGAAATATCATATTCCCATGAAATATTTAAAAAATAATCCATGATGATCAAAGCATCAGAATTTGCAACAAAAACAGCAACCAGAGTGGGCTGCATTTCCCATTTGCTTCAGACTTCTATGTGATTCAGAACAGCACTGTAATGACCCCGTCTTTATCTAAAACTGGAATACCGCCCTAGCCGGTTTTGCTCAGTTGGTCCATCAGAGGCCTGCGGACTGAAGGGTCGCTGGTTCAATTCCAGTCAAGGGCACATGCCCAGGTAGCAGGCTCAACCCCAGTAGGGGCCATGCAGGAGGCAGCCAATCAATGATTCTCTCTCATCAAGGATGTTTCTATCTCTCTCTCCCTCTCTCTTTCTTTCTTAAATAAAGAATAAATTAAAAAAAACACACACACACTCACACACAAAACTGGAAAGCAGGTTCCTCATGGATTTTTTTCACAGTAAATTTGATTTTTAAAATAGGCCTTAAAATGTTTGTTGCAGTCACTGAGATGCGCCTGAGGCTCATGACCTGCTTCTACTTCTGTGTATCTGGTTCTAATTCTGAAGAAAGAAGGAGCCCCTCCTCTTTGTTCTCCCTTCCTCATCTCTGTAGCCTCCTCTCTGACTCTCAGAACCCTCTCCCCTCATCTCTCCTCACACCTCACTTCTTTTTATTTCTAATATTTTTATTGATTGCAGAGAGGAAGGGGGAGGGAGAGAGAGAAGCAACAATGATGTCCCTTGTGAGACTCAACCTTTGAGCCCAGGAGACAGCTATAGTGTATAATAAAGGTAGGAGTAATCATTCTAAGCGAAGCAATTGTCCAAGAATTTTAAAGTTATTTTTAATTTGTTTGTTGTTGTTGTGAATCCTCACCCAAGGATATTTTTTCATTGATTTTTAGGGAGAGTGGAAGAGAGAGGGAAAGACAGAAACATCGATGAGAGAGACACATCGATGGTTGCCTCTATCACGAGCCCCGATCAGTGCCCAGGCTGGAGAGGAGCCTGCAACCAAAGTACATGCCCTTAACTGGAATCACACCCAGGACATTTGGTCTGCTGGCCAAAGCGCTGTTCACTGAGCTGGCTAGGGCTCTTTAAGACTTATTATAGAGTAAATAAGATGTCCCATTAGATAATGTTCAGACTTTTTTGTTAGAAATTCATACAATGTATAGAAATCAAATATAATAAGTGAAAAACAGTACATATTTAGTAGGTGGAGTTAGGAAAGCCTTCTCTTTAGATTCATACCCCAATATTAGGGTTGGGTTCAGGCTCAAAGACAGGTCTGGGATTCAGCCTGTCAAGTTCCCACAAGCTGCTCAGAGTTAAAGTATCAGTTCTAGGCCACCCCTGAGAGGGGCTGAGGTCAAGAAAAGTGGCCACAGTGGAACACCCAGGGCACAGTCCATCCTTAACTCCTGGTCCTGCCCCTCAAGGCTAGTTCCTGGTCACACCCTTCGTAGATGCCACCAGGGAGATGGGACATGCTGGCGCCAAGCCCCTGACCTGGCCTCAGGAATGAGGGTGGAGGTAGAGTGCAGGCATATGGGTTTAGCTGCCTCCGGGTTCCAGATAAGAGCAAATGCAGGTAAGGTAACTCCAGAGCTGGGTTCGCTAAACTCCAGGACCCTGAGAGTGGGAGTGGGGCGGGTGTGCTATAAGAGGGCCACTCTGCACAGGGCTGGACACCATTGAATCCCAACCCGGACTGAAGACCAGACCAGACCAGACCAGACCCCCTGCAGGTGAGATGAAATCCCACTAGGGATGGGTCAGGTGCATCTGGATGGACAGCTCACTCTTGCTCTTGAGGGCAGAGCAGTAGATGCCCAATATCTGGTTGTGAGAAGGAGGGGCTGGCTGTTTGGAGTTTTGGATCTTTTACCTAAACGGAACTTGGGACATAGAATTTAAATGGGGAGGGACAGAAACCCGATCACTAGGTACATCTGCGTGGAAGGCTGTCTCTGGCCTGGACTTGTGGGTTTAGAGGGAGCAGGTGGGTGGAGACTGGGGTTCCTGGGTCTGAGGGAGGAGGTGGGTGCAAACTGGGCTCCTGGGTCTGAGTAGGGAGGTGGGGGCTACTGGGTCTGAGGGAAGAGAAGGGACCTGGAGACCAGGAGTCCTGCTTCCTGAACTCTCTCTCTTTCCATCCCCAGCACAGAAGGCCCTTCCTCTGTGGCAGCCACAGAGGCTCAGAGAGGACACATGGCACTTCCCCGGCTCCCACCCGTGCTGCTCCTACTGCTGTCCTTAGCCCTGGGATCTGCTGGACAAGAAGGTGAGGACCAGCCTGGGCGACGTGACCTTGCCCTGGGCCTCACAGTCCCCCACCTCCCCTCTCCAGGCCCCCTCTCTCCAAGGAGCCCCTGAGTCAGGACCCTCCCCTGCAGCAGCCTCCTCCCATTGAGACATGGCCCCTGGGCTGTGGCCCCTTTCTTCCTGCTCCCTCCTGACTCCTGGGCTCTGGGTGCCCTCCAGGCTGCTTCCCGCCCTCAGTGTCTCTCTCATCAGACGCTGGGCTTGCCTCCAGACCAGCTGCTGCCCTGGGTTCCTGAGCAGCCTCCCTCCGTCTCTCTCGATCTCCGTCTGCACCTGTCTCTGCCCTAGGCTCAGTGTCTGCCTCTGCCCTTCTCCACGCCTCTCTGTCTGTCTCTGTCTCTATCATTGTCTCTGGGCATCCATCTACTGCGGCCTCAGTCTTCCCCTGAGGCCTGCTACCCACGCTTTTTCCAGGTCTCCATCCAGCCCAGGACACTGGGGAGAGGATCATTAATGGAGTTGTATGTCCAAGAGGCTCCCATCCCTGGCAGGTGGCCCTGTATGCCTTCGATGAGTTCCATTGTGCAGGCGTGCTGGTCAACCAGCAGTGGGTGCTCACCGTTGCCCACTGCCGCCTGAGGTATGGGACAGGGGGGCCAGCGCCACTCCATCTCTCTCTCTCTCTTTCCCTCTCTCTCTCTCTCTCTCTCTCTCTCTCTCTCTCTCTCTCTCTCCTTCTGTCCTCCTAACTCTGGGTCTATGTACCCTTCTCTCAATCACAGTGTCTCCCTCTGAATGTTACTTTTTTTTTTTAAGTGAGTATATTGTGCAAATGGGGAGTGATCTTCTGTTTGATGGGCATGCCCAGAGGATCAGGACCACACAGTCCTTCGTCCACCCCTGGTATAACCACAGCAATTATAATTATGACATCATGCTGTTGAAGCTGCCCAGCCCGGTCACGCTCTCACCCACTGTGAACACAATTGACCTACCGTCCAGCTGCAAAGACCCTGGGACAAGCTGTACTGTCTCTGGCTGGGGCGTCACCACCGCGGATGCAGGTGAGGCTGCCCCTGTGACCCCAGTCACCAAGGTCCCAGCTCCCTTCTTCCTCATGCCTCAGACACAGGAGACACACCCAAGGTTCCAGACACTTCACCCCCAAACACCTCCGTTCTCAGACCCAGGAAGCCAGACCCACAGTCTCTGCACCGTCACATCTGCAAGCCTGACCTTTAGACATACCTCCCCCCAGGCCTCCATCCCGCAGACCCAGGAGTTTAGAACCCCAGTCACCACCTCACGCAGAGCCAAGTGTCCAGGCTCCAGGCCGCTTCCACCCTCAGACCCAGGAGTCTTGGCCTTCAGGTGCCTTCTCCCTCAGATGAAAGGAGACCTGGTCCCCAGCCCCCTCTACCCAGGAGGTGCCCGTCAAGGCCAGCAACTCGTCCCTCCCTTGGTAGATGCCACTAGGGATGGTGGAGCTGGAACATGCGGAGTTCAACCCCTTGACCTGGCCTCAGGAATGAGGGCGGAGGTAGAGTGCGGGCATCTGGCTTTAGATGCCTCAGGGGTTCCAGATAAGAGCAAATGCAGGGAAGGTAACCCCAGAGCTGGGTTCAGCTGAACTCCAGGACTCTGAGAGTTGGAGTGGGGCGGGTGTGCTATAAGAGGGCCACTCTGCACAGTACTTTCAAACCCAGGAGTTCAGACACAGGTCCCTTACTTCCGAAGACCCGGAAGTCCAAGAAATAGGACCCTTTTCATAACCATCATATTGGGTCACCCAGCTCCTCCTCCTTCCATGTCCAGGGTCCCCATTCTTTTACATCAGCACCCACAGGTCCACAGGACCCAGCCTCTGACTGCCCCTCCCTCCCCCGCACAACTTCTCCAGCAGCAACAAATCCGTCAGAGCTCATGTGCTCGAATGTCAACATCATCTCCGCCCAGGAATGCAAGCAGTCTTACCAGGACCTGTTGAAAAGATACATGCTCTGTGCAGTTCCCCCCGACGGGCTCTCAAACAGCTGCACAGTGAGTCCCCTCCTCCCCCGCCCTGGGTTCAGCTTCTTCTCAGCCCAGGACTATCTCCCCCTCCATCCAGTGTCCTAGGGCCTGACCCTGGTGCTGAGCCTTCCCTCACACCTTACCAGCCCCACTTTCCTGGCTCTCTCCACTCAGTTCTCTGCCGGGGTCAGGGTGGGAGCCCACGGGGGCCTGTGTGGCCTTGGGGGCTGGCACAAAGCTGAAGGATAGAAACTGGGGGTGGGAATGGGGCTGGGACTATGGGGAGGGCAGTGAGGCACTGGCTACAAGCACAAGCTTTAAGGGCTCACCAAAAGCTCAGTGACCAGGAAATATCATATTCCCATGAAATATTTAAAAAATAATCCATGATGAGCAAAGCATCAGAATTTTCAACAAAAACAGCAACCAGAGTGGGCTGCATTTCCCATTTGCTTCAGACTTCTATGTGATTCAGAACAGCACTGTAATGACCCCGTCTTTATCTAAAACTGGAATACCGCCCTAGCCGGTTTGGCTCAGTTGGTCCATCAGAGGCCTGCGGACTGAAGGGTCGCTGGTTCCATTCCAGTCAAGGGCACATGCCCAGGTAGCAGGTTCAACCCCAGTAGGGGCCATGCAGGAGGTAGCCAATCAATGATTCTCTCTCATCAATGATGTTCCTATCTGTCTCTCCCTCTCCCTTCCTTTCTGAAATAAAGAAAATATTAAAACACACACACACACACACACACACACACACACACACTAACACACAACACTGGAAAGCAGGTTCCTCATGGATTTTTTTTCATATTGAATTTGATTTTTTTAAAAATATATTTTATTGATTTTTACAGAGAGGAAGGGAGAGAGATAGATAGTTAGAAACATCGATGGGAGAGAAACATCGACCAGCTGCCTCCTGCACATCTCCTATGGGGGATGTGCCCGCAACCCAGGTACATGCCCTTGACCGGAATCGAACCCGGGACCTTTCAGTCCGCAGGCTGACGCTCTATACACTGAGCCAAACCGGTTTTGGCTTGAAATTTGATTTTTAAAATATGCCTTAAAATGTTTGTTGCAGTCACTGAGATGTGCCTGAGGCTCATGACCTGCTTCTATGTCTGTGTATCTGGTTCTAATTCTGAAGAAAGAAGGAGCCCCTCCTCTTTGTTCTCCCTTCCTCATCTCTGTAACCTCCTCTCTGACTCTCAGAACCCTCTCGCCTCATCTCTCCTCACACCTCACTTCTTTTTATTTCTACTATTTTTATTGATTGCAGAGAGGAAGGGGGAGGGAGAAACAGAAACAACAATGATGAGAGAGAATCATTGATTGACTGCCTCCTGCATGCCCCCCACTGGGGATCAAGCCTGCAATCCAGGCATGTGCCCTCAGCCAGAATCAAACCTGGGACCCTTCAGTCCGCAGGCTGATACTCTATCCAGTGAGCCAAACCGGCTAGGTCCTCACACCTCATTTCATTTTCTGGTTCCTTCTGAGTTCTGTGTTGTAATCTCTATCTCCCTCCCTCCCTCCCTCCCTCCCTCCCTCCCTCTCTCTCCTGCCCTCCCTCTCTCTCCCTCCCTCCCTCTATCTCTCTCCCTCCCTCTCTGCCTCTCTCTCCGGCTTCTGTCAATTTTTTTTATTTTCTCCATCTCTGCCTCAATCCATACCCCCAACATTCTGCTTGTCTGTCTCCTTCATCCTTCCCTTTCTTCTTCTCTCCATCCTTCTCTCTCTCTCTTTCATCCTTTGCTTCTTGTACCCCCACTATCTTTGCTCACATCTGCACTCTCAGCTTTCAGGGGTGGTGAAATGGTGTGTCTTAGGAAGAGAGGTGATGGGACAAGGTTGAATGTCCTAAAAATGGGGGGTTCGCCCTGGTCCCCACTGAGGACCTGATTCATAATTCTGCAAACTGTGCAGGGACACAGAGTCGCAAACTCAGGACAGTCCCGCAATTGGTTTAACCCACTGGCTTTTCTTAAACTTCCTATATTTGAACCTGGTGATCCAAACTTCTATTTTGCACTAGAGCCTGTAAATTAGGGCATTGGTCCGGCCCCTGGTTCCAGGACTACCCTGTCCCCCACTCCTGGTTGAGGCAATGTATGGGTTTCCCTGGAGATAATACTTCCTCTTCCAGGGGCTTGACAAATAAATGGGCCTCTGACATCCTGGAAGCCCCGCCCCCTAGCTGTGATTGACGAGGGCTGAAGCCAATGTCTTCCAAAAACCTGGTTGGCCTCTCCATGATAGCATTCATTCCTGCTCTGCCATTGGTCCGCAGAGACAATGGGTCTCTTCCCAGTGGCCAGGGTGGAAGACTGTGTTCTGGCCTGATAAAGGCCTGATAAGCTTGGTGTCTGTGGGACCTCATTGCTGGTTATTTTGAAATCAAAGCTAATCTGCTCTCTTCTCTCCAGGGTGACTCTGGGAGTCCGCTGATTTGCGAAGGTTCCCTGCAAGGCCTTGGTGTCTCCCGGCCATGCCCCTTGTACGCTGCGCTTTGCGCCAGTGGTATACACCCGCCTATGCAAGTACCGCAAATGGCTGTATAAAACCATGAAAGACAATTCCTAATCTCTCCATGCTTGCATCCTTTTTCCCTATGCCCTGAACAGGGCCTTACAGGAAATAAAGACATCCCTGACTTGCAGCCGTATTTGACTCTATTATTTTAAAAGTCATATGAAAGCGTCAACAGCATTCTAATAAAAATTTGCAAAAACCTGTGAGCTAAACATAAAACACAAAAATATCAGCACTGGTGAAGATGCGGGGATACCACCCCTGAGTTCTCCAGCCGAAGTGGAGAACAATTTTTATGAGACAAGGTTAACAAATTGAGTCCACAGTCTCATTCATTCCTTTTGAGCTAGGAATTCTGGTCAATCCAAAACATGGGCAAGGTTCGAATTCATCACAACATTGTGGCGAGCCGGCAAGGCCATGGCATACTCAGCCCCAGGGCGCCTTATGTGCCATGCCAGCTCAGCCTGGGTCAGTGACCCTGAGTGGGGGCAGTGAAAGGCTTAGAAAAGACAGACAACAGAATGAAAGCTGGGTCTCGGTGGGAAGCTGCCCTCTCAGATGGAGAGAGAGAGCGCCAGCGCCCACAAGCCTTGTCTTTACTTTATAGCAGACGCCACGAGGCAATGTAAGGGCGTGATCAAGATGTTTACAACGTTCTCGTGGGTTTCAATCCCACTCAACTACATGCACCTGAACTCTATCAAGCCCACATCGCTCAGGCACGTGGGGCCACGTGTTCGGACCAAAGGTTCAAGCTTACAGCTACAGCTGTTGGCTATATTTGTGCTGGGAAGGCTCTGCCGTCCAAGCTGGGACTTGCACGTGGCCATGAGAGGACTGTGCCCTCTCCTCAGTCCAAGGCTTGAACCTGTGCAGACACTGTAGCTGCTCCCCACACAACATTAGCTGTCATAGCAAAACAGTGGAAATGCTGAACCTGTTCTGAATTATTCCATGGCTTATGTCAAAAGCAAACGGATGTAAGTCAGGAGACTAATGACTCTGTTCAGGATAATAATTATGCAGAACTGTGAGTGTCATGTCAGAATGCGTATGCTGTCTGATGTTAAATACAAAAAAAGAAACAAAAATCGTACATGTCTGTGATCGTTACCGAATAAAAAGAAATAGTCACAGAATAAGAGCATGTACCAAACTGCCTGTGGACGGAGTCCTGGGTGCCTCCTTCCTTCCGTGTCCCTTTCTGTGCCCGTGCACCTCTACAACCTGAACAATACGGTGGAGACCTCTGAGGAGCCGAGGTTGGGGCAAGGAGACCTTCTCAGAGGGAGGTAGGAAAGGAAATGGAACTCATTTTTGGACTCTCACCCTGCCTCCTGCTCCCACTGACATAGAAGCGTGTTCCTCTACATTTTCCAGCCCTCAGTTAGAGAGAGAGAGAGAAAAGAAGAAGAAGGAGGAGGAGGAGAAGGAGAATAAGGAGTAGGAGGAGTAAGAGGAGGAGGAGGAGAAAGAGGAGGAACAGAGAACAGAAATGCCTACTTCACAAGTGTGCAAAGGGGTTGAGAGTGGTTTTGAGCATGTCACTGGTGACAAATGAGGAGAGAGGAAGCAGGTTTTCAGAAAGGACGTCGCTGGCAAGTAGACAGACACCAGAGTCCATCGAGGACCTGCCACAAGTGAGCACCAGATTTTGGAGGAAGAGAGAACAGTGGGAGTGCAAATGGGGTAGGTGGACTCCTATTCTCACCGTGTGCCAGGAAGGGCCCTCTGTCGGAGAGGAGGGAGGAGGGAGGAGTCCCCTGTGTCTCAGAGCCTGGCAAGATCAGCAGGTTCCTGGTACCCTGGGCTCCCTGGGCAATCTCCACAGACCCTGCTGACTGAGGGTCTTCTCCAACCAGCTGTGATAGGCAGTTAGGCAGACATGAGCAGAGCAAGGACAACAGGCCGGGCACAGAAGGTCACCAGGGCAGAAAGCCCAGGTGTCTAGCAAGGGGTAAAATTGGGAAAACAAGGACCTCACCCCCAGGATAACTCACCCCCTGCCCCCGCAGCGTATGGCTGGTCATATAGTTTTCTTCCCTAGGGATAACATCTAGGCCTCAGCTGTATTTCAGTTCCAGGCCCAGAAAAACAGCAAAACTCAGACAAGTGATGTCATGGCTACCTCAGGACCCCCTGCCCTGGCACTGACCCATCAGTGGAGACAATGACCCTGAAAGAGCGCACCTGGAAAGCTGATGAATATTTTATTGAGAAACTCCCCTGAGACCTCCCCAAAGATTCCCACCTGCAAGAGGGAGATAAGTACCCTCCCTTCTGGGGAGCAGGTCCCAGACATTCCCTTTCCCATCTTCTTCCCATACAGGCATGACTCTCCTAAACTCTATGGGTTCCCATGAGAATCGCAACCAGGGGAGCAACGGGCAGTGACAGTCTAACCCCCTGAGCCTGTCACCAAGCCCCCCTTTTCCCTGACTTCCCAGTGAGCCAGAGCGGCCCAACCTGAGCTCTCCTACCACTCCAATGTTGAATCCTTTCTTATGTCGCTGTCCTGGCTATGCTTTGCTGCAGACAACAAATCCTTTGCTGCTGTGCTGCACGTTGTCTCTTGATTGAATTCTTTCCTTCAAGAACCTAAGAACCGAGGTCTCCGCTTCTCCCAGGTCACAGAAAAAATGAAAGCAAATGCTATCTGATTATGATATCATTGGCATTTTTAAAAAAAATATATTTTGGGGAGGGGGATAGAGAGTTAGAAACATTGATTAGAGAGAAACATTGATTAGCTGCCTCCTGCACA